GGGTTGCCAGGTTGGACATAGGTTATATTGTAGCAGAGGGTTGCCAGGTTGGACATAGACAGGTTATATTGTAGCAGAGGGTTGCCAGGTTGGACAGAGACAGGTTATATTGTAGCAGAGGGTTGCCAGGTTGGACATAGACAGGTTATATTGTAGCAGAGGGTTGCCAGGTTATAGCCAGGTTGGATGGAGACTCTTTACTTTGTAGAATAGGGTTGCCAGGTTGGATGGAGACAGGTTATCTTGTAGCAGAAGGTTGCCAGGTTGGACAGAGACTCTTTACCTTGTAGAATAGGGTTGCCAGGTTGGACGGAGACAGGTTAAATTATAAGGTTGCCAAGTTAGACAGAGACAGATTACCTTGTAGTAGAGGGTTGCCAGGTTAGAGCCAGGTTGGACAGAGACTCTTTACCTTGTAGAATAGGGTTGCCAGTTTGGATGTAGACAGGTCATCTTGTGCTAGAGGGTTGCCAGGTTGGACAGAGACTATTTACCTTGTAGCAGAGGGTTGCCAGGTTGGATGGCGACTCCTCTCTGACGGCTCGGATTTCGGCTGCAGGAACCAGAGCGAAAACATCCTGCACGGCGATGGAGCAGTCGGCCCAGAACTGATCCCAGAACACGTCGTCTGAGGCCTCGACCGGCTGCAGGAGTGAAAACACAACAAAACACTAAATGTTTTCCTCTTTCCTCACAAAAATCCACCAACAATGGCCTAAAAATCTGAAAAAAAGAGTTCCTAACCCATTTTATCCACTTAAAAAATTTAAAATATCAGTTTTCTATTAAAAGAGGAGTCAGAACTTTAAATGTTAGTTTGCATTTTATTGCTCACCGATAAAAACTTCTAAAGATAAAATTTGCATACAACCCTGCCTGTGATAAAAACTCCTGCTGGGAAACTAAATGTTAAACAGTTCATTGAATTAATTTTGTATGTATTAAGTGCAGCAGGTGTTTCACAAACTAATCAGCATCAAAAGACCTAAAAACCTGTTTTTAGTATTAAAACCTTTAAAATATCTAAAATATTTGAATATTTTAAGTAAAAACAATGTTTCTGTTCATTTAAGGTGTTTCTCCTCCTGATTTTCTGCACCTGACGTTTCCAGCTGGTACTTTTCTCTCCTCAGTTTCGCCTAAAAACTCAAATGTTTATTTTATTTTTTTGTTTCCAGCAGGAAGTGGAACCGACCTGAGTTCTGGTCGTGAGCTGGATCACAGCCTTCCTGAAGTGAAGTTTGGTGTCCGAGTTTCCCATTTTCTGTCTGCTGGATCCGCGTCCTGCAGGAGGAGGAGGAGGAGGAGGAGGAGGAGGAGNGTTGGACGGAGACAGATTAACTTGTAGCAGAGGGTTGCCAGGTTGGACAGAGATGGATTAAGTTGTAGTAGAGGGTTGCCAGGTTGGACAGAGACGGATTAAATTGTAGCAGAAGGTTGCCAGGTTGGAGAGAGACGGATTAAGTTGTAGCAGAGGGTTGCCAGGTTGGACAGAGACAGATTAAGTTGTAGCAGAGGGTTGCCAGGTTGGACAGAGACAGATTAACTTGTAGCAGAGGGTTGCCAGGTTGGACAGAGATGGATTAAGTTGTAGTAAGGGTTGCCAGGTTGGACAGAGACGGATTAAGTTGTAGCAGAGGGTTGCCAGGTTGGACAGAGACAGATTAAGTTGTAGCAGAGGGTTGCCAGGTTGGACATAGGTTATATTGTAGCAGAGGGTTGCCAGGTTGGACATAGACAGGTTATATTGTAGCAGAGGGTTGCCAGGTTGGACAT